CAGCTCACCCACCTCCCTCCCCTGCATCTTCGCATCTCCACCTGGATGCGGCCCCGGGGCGAAGCTCCTGGTGCAGGGCTGCGTCCTTCCCCGGGGGCAGGATGGAGATGGAGCCCTCCAGATTTGGCAGACACGGGCTCTTTGAACTTTTGTTCCTCCAAGTGGAGAGCGTTGTCCTTCCACCACATTGTGCTGCTCGTTTGGGGCTGTTTCTGTTGTTTCTGCCCTTCCAATTTTCCTCATCCCTTTGCAGGCAGTGGGCAAGCGAGGCAGCAAAACGGGGCTATGTGTGGGGCTACCAAAGGGGCCAGCTGCAGGGGAGCTGCAGTAGCCTCACAGCGGGGTCACACGGAGCCCTGGTGGTGCCTGAATTTGGCCACCGGCTGAGCTGTGTCCTTGTGGGGTGAGCACATACCCTGGTGAGGGTCAGATTGGCTCCATCCTGCTGGTTTAGCACTGGGAAAGCTCCCAGTCTGACCAGTTCACACGCTGATTTTGCACGTGTTGTGCAAGGTATTGATGGTACGGGGTTTTTTATTACGATTATCTTCATCAAGCGGGGCCAGGAAGGTCCCATATTGGACGCTGGCCACCAAAATGTGCCCTTTTGCCCCTTAGCGCTGCACTCTGCATGCTGGAGGCGAGCAGGGCTGGGTGGATGCTGCCTGCAGCAAGCTGGTGCCAACCCAGCGTGTTCCTGAGGCAGTCCTGAAGCTGTCGTTGTGCTTTCCAGGAGGACTGGAAATGCTGCTGGAGGCAGGCTGGCCTCACCCATCCCTGAACTGCACTGCAGGTGCTGCAGGGTGGCCGTGCCAGGGCTTTGCCATCCACCCCTGCAGCAGCATTGCAGTGCTCTGGGTGAGATTTTGGGTTTGGAGCAGCAGCCCCGCACCTGCAGCCACGGCAGGAGGCACTGTGAACACTGCCTGTGAAACAAAACACAACTCAAAACAGGTATTTTTGACCCTGAAATTCCCCTGCTTCCAGGGGAAGCTGCATGCTTGCAGCACCGCTTTCAGCTGATCCGGCACCGAAGCCGGTGTGTGACCGGACAGATCGCAGTGGGCTGCCACGCAGTGTGGCCGGGCACTTTAATCTTTTGGGGTGAAACCAGTTGTGAGAGGGGGCCAGCCAAAGCCCAGGAAAGCTGCAGCGGTGTCGGGGTTAGCCCCGGGGTTTTAGCGTCTCAGCTGGCAGCACTGGGCTAAAACCCACCCTGTGGGGCTGTGGGGAGCGGCGATGCAGGCACTCAGGACCTCTCTGTTCGACCTCCTTTCCCTCTCATTTCCAAGCCTGGGGTTGCTGGCTGCTCATGCCCCAGGCTGCCGGCCAGGAGGAGGGTTTAGGGCCAAAGCCCAAGCTGCAAGGAAACCTGGCGGTATTTCTGAAAGCAGAAATTTCTTGCTCATGGTGCAGAGAGCAAGCATGCTCCCTGAAAATGCCCCTTTTTGACTCAATTTATTCTTGCAACCGCCATTTCCTTCCACCTTTCATCCGTGAGGGCACAGCTGCTGTCTCTGTGTGCGCTTTTTTCTTTATATCTTTATATCTTTTCACCTAATCTCTCTCACTTGACCCAATGCGTGCAGTGGGGGTGGAAAAATTCAATTTGTCTGTGTGTCAAAACTGGTATTGAGCAAATCGCTCTGCCCCAACTCTATCACCTTTGTAAGAACTTGCAGAGCTTGGCTCATCTCACCCGTCGTAAAGCCCTGCTTTGGGGACGAGAGGACTCTTATGGGGGCACCTGTTTTTCTCTGTCCCCAAGGGGGGAAGATGGAGCCCTAACAGCACCCCGCTAAGTGTGAAATGCCAAATCCCAGCCCTGAAGCTGAGGGTTCTGCACAGGAGCTGTGCTGGCTCCGGGGTCAGGGGCACCCTGGTGCAGTGACCTCTCTTGTGGGCAGCAGGGACAAAGCCCAGTCCCTCCGAAGGGGCCACAAGTGTGTCCGTGCAAGATCCCATGAGTGCCATGAGCCCTTGTGCATGAGCATCCTGGCTGGAGCAATGAGCAGCTCTTTGATATTTTGTGTTTTAATTCTTTGTTCAGTAGTTGGCCTCAAGTTTTCCATGCTACACACAAGTCAAACCCAGCTTTAGGCATCCAATTATTCATTTTCTCATGGGTTTTCCCGTGTCTGCCATCTGCACAGCCAAGACCTTCTCAGACTTTGAAGAGTCTCCACAATACCCCTCTGAGAAGAGCGGTGTTGTTAGCCCCGTTCCGCAGACGGGAATGGAGGCACAACGAGATTCAAAGCAAAGACTGAGCACGAATTTTGGATGCCTGTTGTGGGACGTTCAGGGTCAGGCTGCTTTGCCAGGATCGTGAGCGTGCCTGAAGCTCAGCTCCCTGCTCTCGCTGCCAGCGGCACCAGTTCAGCGTTTTGGCAAGCGCCAGCGCACGTGGTTCGTGCTGTAAATGAGGACACCCGAGTGGGAGCTGGTGGCAGCGATTTCAGCAGCCACGGGGGCCAGCACGCTGCCATCCGCCTCCCTCCATCCTGCTTAATCCCCACTTTGTCCCCTTCCCCATCACCCTTCTCTGCCGTGCTGGGTTCAGCCCCTTCTCCCCTCTGCTTCAGGGCCTCCTGCAGCTCCTCTCCTCTCCCCGTCTCCTCTCCTTGCCCGTCGCTCAGCTTCCCACAAGCCAGCTTTGCTTTCCTCCTCTCTGCTTCTCCAAGTCACACTTGTGCCGTTTTTAGCCTTGCAGCTGTGACTCCACGTTTGGAGGTTCAGCTGGCCTGCGAGTATTGCACGTGGCAAAACATCACGATTTCTTTAAATCTGTCAAAGTTTCTTTAAAACTGTAAAAATACCCAGAGACCTGGGGAGTTGTACGTTCAGCACACAGCCTGCTGGAAGGACAGACAGGCCCCAGGTCCCGGTGTTTTGGTTTAGTTTCTGCTTAGTGGCTTTGCCCTACATCCCCTTCTGCAGCGTTGGTTTGCCACCAGAAAGCCACAGTGGAAAACCGCTGTGGATGTCTGAGAACAGCCAGAGCAACGAGGCAGCTCCTGGTGCTGTGTCCAGTGCCTGTCCCTAATTAATCGGTCATTAAGAAACGTGTCCCATAGCCGGGGGACTCACAGCTGCTGATTTGAGGTGTCCTGCTCCAGTGGGACAGAAGGGCTCTGGTGCCTACACGGACCCAGCGGCCCACTCCCTCTTGTCCTATCATTATCTACCCAAATAAAGAGTCCCTTCTCCATCCTTTTTATAAAACTAAGTGCTGAAAGGTCACACTGAGGTGTCCCCAAGGCCTCCTCTTCTCCATGCTGAACATCCCCAGCTCTCTCAGCCTCCTGTCGGGCCTGTGATGGCGCCTGGGGCCCACGATGGTGGCTGGGGACTTGAGGATGGAAGCTGAGGCCCGTGATGGTGTTTGGGGCTGTGAGGATGGTTGGGGACCATGGTGATGGTGGTGGGCTTTGTGTTGTTGGCTGGGCCCTGTGAGGGTGGTTGGGGCTATGAAGGTGACCGGGGACCATGGTGATGGTTGTTGGGGACTGTTGGGGACTCTGGAATGTGTCCAGAGCAGATATCCTTCACCAGGCTGGTGAAGGGCCTTGGACAGAAGTCCTGTGAGGAGCGGCTGAGGGAACTGGAGGTGTTTGGGCTGGAGAAGAGGAGGCTCAGGGGAGACCTCATTGCTCTCTGCAACTGCCTGAAGTGAAGCTGTGGGGAGCTGGGGTCGGCCTCTTCTCACAGGTACCCAGCAATAGGACCAGAGGGAATGGGTTCAAGTTGTGCCAGGGGAGGTTTGGTCTGGAAATGAGACATTTCTGCTCAGAAAGAGCAGTCAGGCACCGGGATGGGTTGCCCAGGGAGGTGGTGGAGTCACCATCCCTGGGGGTGTTCAAGGAGAGGTTGGACGTGGTGCTTGGGGACATGGTTCAGTGGGTGACATTGGTGGTAGGGGGCGGTTGGACTAGACGATCTTGGAGGGCTTTTCCAACCTTAATGAGTCTAGAATTCTGCTTGGGGACATGGTTTGTCCCTGGGGGTGTTAGAGGAGAGGCTGGATGTGATGCTTGGGGACACGGTTTAGTGGTGATTCAAAGATTGAAGCCGAAATTCCTTGAAGTGGTATATTCTTTATTGCAGCGCTGGATGCACAGGGGATCTCTCCACCTATCGTGCATACCCAAACTGGAAAGCAGTCTTGAATTTATACACTCAATCTATCAATATTCTACAAGCGCCTATACATATTGATTACCCAATGCCTCCCCAATACCTCCTTAATATTGTCCTTGCCTCCCCAATGTCTCCTTAATCAGTGGGTGCCATTGGTGGTTGGACCAGGTGATGTGGAGGGCTTTCCAACCTTAATGATTCAAGGATTCTACTTGGAGACATGACTTATCCCTGGGGGTGCTCAAGGAGAGGTTGTGTGTGGTGCCTGGAGACATGTTTTGGTGGTTGATGGTGGTGGTAGGGGACAGTTGGACCAGGTGATGTGGAGGGCTTTTCCAAACTTAGTGAGTCTAGAATTCTACTTGGAGACATGGCTTATCCCTGGGGGTGTTAGAGGAGAGGCTGGATGTGGTGCTTGGGGACACGGTTCAGTGGGTGCCATTGGTGGTTGGACCAGGTGATGTGGAGGGCTTTCCAACCTTAATGATTCAAGGATTGTACTTGGGGACATGGCTTATCCCTGGGGGTGCTCAAGGAGGGGTTTGATGTGGTGCTTAGGGACACGACGGTGGTGGCAGGGGGTGTCTGGACCAGCCGCACGGCCGTGCCCCCCATCTTTTCAGTACCCCAGCAGTGCCACCCATCATGGCGGCCACCCCATGAGGGGGGGGGCACCACAGCGCACGCCGCGCGCCGAGTGGGCGTGGCCACCATCACCCCCCCCACATACACAGGGAGGGGGCGGGGCTTGCGGCGGTGACGTCACGCGCTGGGCAGCGGGGGGGGGGGAGGAGAGGAGAGGGGAGGGAGGCGGGGCCGGGCCGGGCCGTGCGGGGCGCGCCGGCGGTGGCGGAGCCAAGATGGCGCCGTGCGGACGTGTCCGGGGCCGCGGGCCGGGCCCCGCGCTCCTCCCGCTCCTGCTCCTCGCCACAGCGGCCGCGGCGGCCGGGCCGGCCCCGGGGGCTCCTCCAGTGCCCGGAGGAGCCTTGCAAGGAGCCTGGGGGAGCGCCAGCGATGGTGGGAGGAGGAGGAGGAGGTGGAGGAGGAGGAGGTGGAGGTGGTGGCCCGCGGGGGCCCCGGAGCGGTGTTGGAGGAGGAGGGGGGGGCTCCGGCGGCGGCTGGAAGCTGTCTGAGGAGGCGGTGTGCCGCGAGGACGTGGTGAGGCTGTGCTCCAAGCACAGCTGGGCCAACAACCTGGCCGTGCTCGAGTGCCTGCAGGATGTCCGCGAGGTGAGGGGCCGGGCCGCGGGGGGGGGGGGCGGCGAACAAAGAGGGGGGGTGGGGGGTCTCTCAGTGCCCCTTCAGTGCCCCCTCAGGGCCCCCTCAGTGTCCCTCAGGGCCCCGAGTCGCCACAGCCCTCAGGGGTTCTCCAGGAGGGGTCCCTGATGGCCCTCACGGGGGCGCTGAGGGGTCCTGGGGGTTCTCCCTTGGCCCTGTTTTTTTTTTTTTTTAGGGTTTTGGGGGGTTCCGGGGGTCGCCACCCGCAGGCAGGGGTCGTCAGCGCCGCCCCCACGCCGAGGGGGTGTGAGGGGGCTGTGGGGGGGTTCCTCTGATGTGGGGTGGCCTCAGGGGGGTTTCGGGGCCCATCCGCCGCCCCGCTCCTCGGTGGGGTTGGGGGGTTGGGGGCTGTGGGGGGTGGTTTTGGTGGGCAGGGGGCGGTGCTGATGCTGAGTTTTTGGTTTCCTTTCTGTCAAGTCCAAAAACATCAGGCCGGGGCGGTTTTAAGGCTCTGGGCAAGCGGGGAGGTGTTTGGGGGAAAAACTGCTTGTTTCTCCTCTGTTATTTTGGGGGCAGCAGCGACTCGATGGCTGCTGTCACCGAGGGGAGCCTCTGGGCGGGCAGCCCGTGGTGATTCCCGGCTTAACCCCCCAAAAAAGACCCTGGTTTGGGTTTTTAATCCAACTTTGGGCTTAACGTTGGACATGCGAGGTGCTGGCAACAGCTACCCTGATGCGTAAGCCCGCCAGGGTCCCAAAGTGCTCGGGGTTTGCTGCAGGAACACCTCACCCCATGCGGGGGGCTTTGGGGCCCTTTGTAGGGCGGCGCCGTCCCCGAGCCCCTCTGGGTGTCCGGGCTGCAGGAGGTGCCTCGGAGCCAGCCGCCTGCCAAAAGACGAGCCCTTGTTATTCCTTTCTTTCCAATTGTGAGGCTCCTCCCTTCTTCTTTCTTTTTTTTTTTTTTTTTTTTTTTATTCCTCACGCTCCCAGTGCTTATTGGTTTTCAGCCATTTTAGTGCACAGGACCTCTCAGCAGGTGCTGTTCAGCAGCTCTCAGCCGGGATGGTCGGGCTGTTTTATGGAGTTCAAGGGGCTCGGGGGGTGCCTGGCTTCGTTTTCGGCAGGTAGGAGCCCGGGTCGGTGCTGAGCCTGCTTGTGGTTTTCCTTTCCCTTTGGGGGCGACGTCCCAGGCAGCGGTGGGACACCCCGGGGTGAGATTTCTCCCCAAAGGAGCCCCTGATCAGCAAAACGAGTCATAAATGTTGGGCTGCACGTGGGCCAGGCATCCCCTGGGGGGTTTTCTTTGTGCCGGAGGCAGCAGCTGAGGAACCGAGTGGTGTTTCAGCTGTTACCCCTATTGGAAAAACTTCTCACAGCTGGCGTGGGCAGCACCTGAAGTGTAGCAGTCCCGGCTGGTAGGGGGGAGAGCGATGACAAGCTGAAGTTTTTGGAGCCTGGTCAAAAAAAAAAAAAGTTGGGCTGCAGCAAAAGGCAGCTGCCTTCTTCACGGCTCTTCAGATGGTTTTGTTTTTCTCGATGGAAAAGTTCCTCTGAAGTGGAGAAGCTTCCAGTTTGGAACTGGGAGCAGTACTGAGAGCGGCGCTTTTTTTTTTTTTGTTTTTCCCCCTTGATAACGTGATACGGAATAGCGACGGTACTCTAAAACCAGAGTAATCAGGAGCTGGGTGAAACCTTTCTTCAGATTTCGTAGCCTGCAGGTGAGCGGGATGACTTGTTCTGGTGGCCTGTGTGAGCGCCACGGGTGTGTGGTTCTGGTATCTGCCGCTTCGGGGCACGTCCTCCCCTTGTCCCTGCTGGCTGATCATCAGATTTGTGGTTCTGGTTGGTGGGTTACAGGGGAATGCTGAGAGAAGCTGTATAACAGGAACTTAGAAAAAAAATAAATAAAATAAAAATAGAAACAAGGTAGAGCTGTCAAAAAACCCAAACCTTGCTTTTTAAAGTTCTGGCTGCGAGAGGTTGCTCGTAGCCTGTCGATTTGAAGCGTTCTTAACGCAGGTAGTTGAGCACTGCGTATTTTTAAAATTCTTTCCAAAATAAAAAAAACAAATAACAGACTGATATGAAGTACTTCTACAAAGCCAAGGAGGTGCTGGAGGGGACCTGCTGCCCTCCACATATGGTTCAGCTGCCTGAAACCCAAGGACAGGACCTCCCCTTGCTCTCCCTGGCAGAGCAGTGCGAGGCTGCTCCTGACCTGCAGCATGGAGCGGGCTGAGCCTGCCAGCTTAAACGTCCTGGTAATCAGCAAAACGCACGTTTGGGTGAGTTTTCGGAGTGCTTTTCTTCTTCTACTTCAAGTGATTTGCGTGCTGGTTGCGTCGCTGTTTGGAGTTACTTCAACGTTGCCGTCAGAGTTTTTGTTTTCATCTGAGCAATTTCATGCTGAGACATGGAAGGAGCAGAAGAGGGGTGCTGCGTGCGTTTGTCTTTCAAAATTGTGTTTTAAAGAGTGTTTTTCCAAGCGATTCCCGTTGCCAGCCTGCTCCTAGGGAGCCTTCAGAGCCTGCCTGTCTCTGAGCGTGAAGGCTGCAGCTTGGAGCTCTCCTTTACGAGCTGCCCATTAAGCTAATTTTCGTGGTGGTTCTAGTAGAAAGAAACCCATGAAATATTCACATATTTGCCAGGTGAGTTTCTTTTCATGTTTAATGATGATTTGCATTTAAAGCGTGACCGAGCTGTTGATTTTTGAGGTAGGAAACGTTAGCAGGTATGGAAATACCTCAGCCAGGGACGCACTGAACTGGTTTCTTAGCATCATTTTCCTGTTAATGCATCTCAGGTCTGATTAATTGGCGAGCTAACTCGGTGTCATGATTGTTGAGCGTTGCCCTTGTAAAAATATATTTATATAAAGCATTTGTGTGGGCTTGCAATGACAATGCACATCTACCAATGTAATTTTGATGCAGGATAAGGCAAAATAATTTTTGTTGAGCTCAAAGGGTCACGGTGGAGGTGGGATGAGCCCTTGGGGCTTGGGCTGCTTCATCTGGAGGGGATGGGCTTCTTTGGTAGTGCCCTTATGGCAGGATGGGGTAACTGGGCCGAAATGCTCTGCTTTTTGGGGAAAACGGCTTCTCTTTTGGCATTGGTTTTGGGTTAAGGACAAGGGAGGCCAATCCTAAAGCCTTGAGGGTGGCTGTTTCGCTGCTTGCTCTTTGGGGTTGCTCCGGCAGTGCCTACAGCAGGATCATCGGCTTCAGACATCAGCACACGCAGGGATTTGTTTTTAAGGCGATGATCAGAAACCTGGAGGACGTACCTTAAGCCTCGCCGAGGGCTTTGCTTCCGCTGTCCCTTTTTTCTGAGGGCTGTTGAGCTGGTGCTGGTTCAGAGCCACCCGTGCGGGGCACGTGATCCAGGGACTGCAACATCCGTAAGGGGAACAGGGGTGCTTCTTCCCAGCAGCTGAAGTTGAGCTAATTTGAGAGGCTGAATTAATTACGGGACTGGAGCTGGATGCTGTATGAGGGGAAGCCCCTGTCTCTGTCTTGGAGATCTCCAGGAAGCATTCTGCCTTGGGCTGGGCTTGATGAAGAATTCCTGGTGGTTTGTGGTGGGTGCAAGTTGATTTGGACCCTCGGTATGGTTTCTCCTCCTCCTATAACCTGTAGAGGGGAGATGGACCCTCCAAAGGGGAAGGAAAGGAGTGGTTTGGCTTGGGAGGAGGGGATCAGGAAGGGTAAGGTTTGGGAGAACAATGAGCAGCAGCAAAAGAAAATGATGGAGGTGAGACTGGAACACCGCAGGTGGCTCCGGAGCCACGGCTCTGTTCTGTCCCCAATCTTTCCACGTGCCCAGGTACTACAAGCCCAAATTCCTCCAGGCTTTTATGGTCACGTCCTTCAGTGAAACCCTAAACACACTTCAGCCTTGTTTGTGATGGGGACACCTTCGGCATCTGCCTTTGGCTTCCCGTGGGGTGCAGCGAGCCTTGCGAGCCTGGTATGGGCTGGCCCTGATCCCCGAGCAGCCTAGTGGCTCCTCGCCCCTTTTATGCTGCCACATGTCCCCATGTGTGCCTCCAAGCATGAGCTGAGCGAGCCGTGCCATGGTTTGGTGACAGAGTGACCATCTCAGCCTGCTAGGCAGATCCGAGGCTGGGTGGTGGCAGTAGGGCCGGGTACGAGTGGTTTTTCCCCCTGCTTACAGCCCTTTCTCCTTGGGATCATCATGCTTGGAACCAAAAGGTTTGAAGGAAGAGTTCCTAGGCTGGCTGTGTGCCGTGTTCCTGGTACAGGGATGGTGTCCAGATGCTCGTTCTTGATGGAGCAGCTTCCCAGCACGTGAGCACTGCTTTCCTGGTAGGCTCTGCTTGTCTCGCTCTGTTGGGAAGTGCACACGTGCTTCTGAAAAAGCCTTGCAGGTATTCTTCCTGATTTAAAAAAAAAAGGGGGGGGGGAGAGAATTGGATGGATAAAAGGTCTAGGTAATTACCTTTTCATTTGAAATCTTGCTTCACAATAACTTTTTGATCTTCTAATTTAGTTTTAAGCTCTGTGAAGTTGGTTGCTATGGCACTTAAAATAAAATAAATCAGGGCTGCTGGCTCTGTCACCGTGGGGTCCTCTCAGGTTTTGGGTGTTTGGTTCCCAGGTACCCATGGCGCTGGGTCAGGTCAGGAGCTAAGATCTCTCTTCCCCAGGCACCAGTTTATGGGGTTTAAGGCTACTGGTGGGCATCCAGTGCCTCTTTGTCAGGTAGCACAGGGACAGATGCACATTAATCGTGCCAACATCAGGACAGGGATGTTTGCTGCAGTTCTTTTGGGCAGAGACACAAACAAAATATTAGGAACAACTGGAGTGACAAAAAGGTTAGGATTTGGTGTACTGAGCCTTGCTCTACGCGCCCGCAGTGCTTTCAGCTACTGCAGCTGCAAGAATGGTGCGTGTTTGTGAAACTCTTCTCATAGTTCTTTGGTCCTGGGGAGGTCGAGTCCCTCCTGGAGGTGGCAGCCGGCTCTGTTGGTGCAGCTGAGGTGAACAA